ACCCAATTTGCATTCTTCAGTCTGCAAGGCAAAGCCTATCAAGTGACCTGGAAATGCCCACTAGTAACTAATGCTCTGCCTATGGGTGTTTTGCTTCATATCACTTTTTCAGGCAATGGAGCACATTTTGTGGGCTAAAATAGAGACTTTGGCAGGCTAATAATTTGTATTTTTGGTTTTGTGGACCAAGTTGATTGTATAAATTTGCTGTTGTAGAGAGTTTCAAAGCTGATGATTTGTATGATTGCTTGATTGTTCGGACTGTTTAGTTGTCATTTTTTCAGGCTTTATTTTCTCAATGCCCTCCAAAGTCTCAATTATAATAATGGTATTTCTGTATCTGGGCACAAATATGTTTTGGGTCCTTCTCAGAGTCATATTAACCCTTGCTTAGAGACTCTTATGTCAGACCCAGAATAAATTTATTCCCAAATACAGAAACTCCATTACCATCAGTATCACTTTGGAGGACATTAAGAAAGTAAAACTAAAAAAAATGATTTACTCTTTCTACTCAAGCATGTTTGTGTCAATGCTCTGTGATGGAAAATGGAAGACTGCTGTCCTAAAATTGATAATAAAACAGCTAGTGAACTTGCATTGGCCATTGCAGAATATTATGTCCTATCAAAGTCACCCAGGCCAATAATTGGAGCTGGGCAACACTGACATTTCATGACATTTTGCTCAATTCCATTCCTTTCCCTATAAACTTAGTGATCAAGTAATGACTCTTTAGCTTCAATTATTGTCAAACAATTGTTTATGGATGGGGTAGGTTGCTCCTGGTGGTTATTTGTTTTCATGCTGTTCCACAAAAAATGGCAGAGTCCTTCCCTATGCTTTCTACTGTGTGACCAGCTATTCACCTAAAGTACCCAAAAGTTTTTGATAAAGCAATTATTGAACTTGGCCAGTGCAGAATATTATGTCCTGTTGATGTCACCCAGGTCAATAGATTGAACTGAGCGACACTAACATATCATAATATTGTGCCCATTTCTGTCCAACAGTTTTCAATTGATATAATAGTTTTTTGCTCAATAGTATAATTGTTTGCATGTTGTTACAGTCAAACCTTTAAAGTGAGTAGTACCATTGGTCACCCTTTATTAGACAGTCAGTTTGTAAAAGTCCTGAACTGTTTACCCATTATTGACTGTAATTTTCATCTCTATTAAACTGTCACCTCTATTTAGTGGGTGTGGTCACCCTCTACAGAGTCCTGGCAGCCTGTTTGTATTATCCTCCAACTGTGTTGAACTGTCACTTAAAGCAGAACCATTCAAATAAAACTTAGAATCGCATCATTGAATAATATCTCGCATCCTGATTTGTTAACAAAGCCAGGTATTTAGCGTGGAATTGTGAGTCGAAAATAAGGCTAAGTGATATTGTTTTGCATCTATGGAAACATAGCAATTTTAAGTAATGCTGTTTCCTTTTTTACTCATTTTTATCCAGTTATGCGATTCAAGGAAAATCCATTACTTCATTCGTAAATTCCACATTAAATTGCACTTGAAAACTGATATTGCACTCATGTCTTAGCGATTTGTGCGATATGGGTTTTCACGTGCAATTTAATGAGGAATTCCCTCGTCAAGTAATGAATTTTCCTCTAGAATTTTATCTCTGGAAATCAATGTCAGTAGTATTTTTGAGAGAGTTATGAGAGTTGAGAAAAGAGATTTTTATTGTTTCTTTAAATGCTCCTATTCTGTGGAACCCTACAGTGTTAAGCAGTCTACCTGTATTTAAATGCTTACCTGCCTTTCCCTGTGGGTGACTGCCTAATGCAGGTTCATCTGTATATGAAAAATGGTACATTCCTCCCCAAGCTTCCTACTGTGAGATCACATTTTATTTTTTATGAATTGCATTACAGCACCATTGCAGAAGATGTGGTAAGATTTTCTGTGGCAAGTGCTGTGATTACAATGTCATGCTACCCAGGCTTAGTTTTGTTGACCCTGTCAGAGTCTGTGAGGAGTGTTCCCACATCGCCAAACGTGAAGAGGAGTTTTTCGGAAGACATTTGAAGACTTTGTGTGATGGTAAGTAAGAAAAAATGAAAAGGCTGAGAATACACTTTGTGTATCTGGTCTGTAAGTGTAGATATATTGCAGCCTTTGATGGCAAAAGTGCAGCAATGAATTGCAATAGAAGAATTGTTGCATCTTTGGAGTTTGGCTAATTCACTATTACTACATTCAGTTCTTGCCATGACATCACAAAAGCTTATAAACATCTCAATAATTATAATTTCACAGTAGCATCTGCGGCACATAATTGAAAAAAGACTTTTCCTTTCTGAAATATAACTAGAATTGTGTATAATGATTAACAATTATTCACCAAAGTGGATGTAAATATTGGTGGATATTTACCCAGCCAGGAAATGGGGATGTAATTGTCCACCACTCCAGTGACACTGAGGTGAATAATTGTTTTAGAATATTTGTTGGTTTCTGTGGTAGATATTAAAAGGATTGTTCGCCAAGGGGTAGGTGAAAGTGGCAGGTATTTTCTTTGCAGCTTTATGGCTTGGTATACTTCAAATCTACCACCAGTCACCTCCGCAGTGGTGATTATTTGCTTATCATTTACAGATTTTACCATTAAATAAAACATATAATTGTACCCAAGGTTAAAACTACTGTTGCAATTGTCACCTTATGTTATTCAACAGGGGCCTATTTTATTGTTGATGAGTCAGAGCCCTTAAGATTCCTTTGCAAACTTGAACATCATTCACAAAGGTAGGGGGTTGATAGAAATTTAATCTAATGAGACCCATAAAAGGAAACTTGTTGAGAGTAACCTGCGATCAGGTATTCTCTCATTAGGGGTGTACAAAAATGCACTCAGCACAAGCAGAAGGGTCAGTAGTTGGGAAAAACGAAGAAAAAAAAGAATGAAACTGCAGACTCTTGTGCTGAGCTTAGGAATTTCATTTTCAAAAAACACACAAAAATCAGGAGGTGGAATGGTCATAGTAGCTGGCTCTGTTGTGGAGAGTAGCTGCTGGAATTCACCGGTTGTCAGCTTCTAATGAAATCCCTGTGAGCTGTACTTTAGAGCCTCTCCTTGAAAATGAATATTTTTCTGAGTGCAGTATTCAAGGAGGTGCAAACAGTCTTCTACTGGGCTGTTAATCTTTCTAATTGTCACAAGAATGTTGTGATAAGTACTTACTCTGTTGGCAGCCAGTGAACACAAAGATATAGAGACCGGACAAATTTGTTATGCAGGCCTGTCACAACATCAGAAAGGAGAAAATTGACAACAAGACACAATATTTTTAACTTTATCTGTGATGAAAAGCAAAGGAACCGTGCCTCAGTTATTTATGGATGCAATGTGATCAATTGTACCATTTCCTTTGCTGTACCCCTTAGCAATAATCCATTGAGTCATTGTAAGCTTGCAACATGTAATTCCCATCCTCAGTATCTTTCCTTTTTAATTGTAATATTTGCTTTCAACAGAGAACTGCTCTTTGAGTGTTCTGATCAAGACAGAGCAGTCCATGAACCAGTGATATTAATGAAAATTGTTTCAGCTCAGCTTGTAGCTAGTGGAGGTATATGATTTTGAATATTTAGTCATCTAATCAAAAAGTTTCTCCTTTAAGAAAGGACAAACAGTCAAATGGAAAACAGCAAAACTTTAAAAAAAAAAAACAAGAAGAAAAACAACACTTTTAAGAAAATTTGCCATTTTGGCATGCTAACATCAGTGTGCATATTCTCCACACTTTTCTCTAAACATTTCTTGTGATGTTAACAAGGAGAATTTGGGAAACCATCAAGAGCTTCTTTATTCAGATAAAGATATTCCATTTGAGATAAGCTACACTTTGTTATTCTAGTAAACTGAGAGGAAGTGTTATCCTTTTTTGTGTTCAGACAATTCTGGGGTCAGTGGTCTCATTCTTAAGTACAAACAACAAGATGAAATGGAAGAGGTCAGACTGGCAGTTGTGCCATCACCTGCGGAACACAGAAAGCAATCACTCACTTGGCTAGTTGCCATGCAGAAAGTAAGAGCTAGATAGCTATCTTCTCTATCTTTTTTATATCAAGTGCATTTTATTTTTTATCTGATGTGAATTACAACAAGTTTGTGAGTGATTTGGTTAATGTACAGTCTGTTGGCTGGACAGGCCGTTTTGTTTTTCAATACTCTGCTGGCCATTCACTGGTGAACCTTCTAACTCCCAGAAGTGATTAACATGTAACTTCTCCCTATAACAAACAGGTAATGAGAATACTCAAACTTATCAGGTAGAGGTTATCTTGATCTAACACCAAATTCTCATAACTAATTTACAAGGAAATGTATGGCAGCTAGAGGGGAGAATTGACAAGCAGATTTTGTGAGTTAGAGGGTTGACTGTATCTTTTTAAAGTGCACCTACACCCAAAAAATTTTTTTCGCTTAACGAAGTAAGCTTATTTTTTTGAGTATTTCTGCGCAAAAATTTTTTTATTTGCTCAAATCTTCAATTTTCTATGCCCAGTCAAAATACGGAAAATCGGCCGCCATCTTGCCCCACGACCGAGTTTAAAGAGGAATGGCTCTAGTGGGTAATGTGACGTCAAATCGAGAACACGAAAGTCTGCTTTTCACACATTTTCACTTGTTTGGGAAGGTTACAGTCGATAATTGTCCGAAAATATGCCGACTAAGTGTGTTGTAGAAGGATGTAGCAACGTGCGAAATTTGCAAGAGGGTATCGCGCTCCATACAATCTTCATACAACACACCTAGTCGGCATATTTCGGACAATATCGATGACAATCTTCCCAAACAAGTGAAAATGTGTGAGATGCAGACTTTCGTGTTCTCGATTTGACGTCACATTACCCGCTAGAGCCATTCTTCTTTAAACTCGGTCGTGGGGCAAGATGGCAGCCGATTTTCCGTATTTTGACTGGGCATAGAAAATTGAAGATTTGAGCTAATAAAAAAATTTTTGCGCAGAAATACTCAAAAAAATAAGCTTACTTCGTTAAGCGAAAAAAATTTTTTGGGTGTAGGTGCACTTTAAGTGATAGGAACTTTTGATACCCAAATAGGTATGATAAATGAAAGTAAATTATTCATTCTTGTTTGCTGCTTGTTCTAGGCCATAAAGATGCTGTTTGAGGTTTGAAACAAGTCACTCAGTGGAAAAAAAAAACCTGAAAATAAATAGAATGTAATTATCTCTGATTTATAAATCATGAGAATAACAAAGTAGCTTTACCCAACAAAAATACATTTTTCTCAATAGACATCAGCAATGAATTTTTTGCAAGTTTTGCCTTAAACAAATCTGGACAAATACATTGGTGCACTCTACTTATCAGTACAAAATATGTTCACATCCATGTTACAGATGTTCTCTGTATGTTCAGTAGCTGGACATTGCACTGCTTGTTCAGAATCTGACACCAGATGTCATAGAATGGAAGGGCTTTAGGAATTTTGAAAGGGGTTCAGTAGTGAGAGGTAATAACATAAAACAAATTTTGAAGGGTATGGGCATTTGCTGAAGCAGTACTTGTCTACAGAAAATTAATGATAGCAACACTTGTAAAGAGAAGAATTAGTAATATATTGAGAAAGCAAACATAGCCTTTGTATTTGCAAGAATCCGCCCAATTTTTTAAAGAGGCACTACTGCAGAGTTTTGCTTTTAGAGACCACTTTTTTAAATGGCTGCTGGATTAATATTCTTTTGTTTAAATTCAAATTCGCCTAGCTGACCTCGTTCTCCAGTACAAAACTCAAAAGAATACATTATCTCAAGCGAGGCCAGAAGGGCTAATTTAAATTTAAACAAAAGAATACTAATCCGGCAGCCATTTATAAAAGTGGTCTATTAAGCAATAGATTTAGGAAATTCGTTTACCACAAATACCGGCGCACAAGCCGCACTTGCTGATAAGCCACACTGCCCCGAGTTTGGAAACTCAAGTTTTGAAAAAAAAAATTGTTGAAAACTAGATGGATTGTAATGACTAGCTTCATAAATTTTTTTTTTCGTATTTGTAAGAAACAGCTCTTCCTTTACATAGCGTTTTCATGTAGGTAGCGTTATGTAGAGAAGCGTACCCTTCGGAATGTCACGAGAATGAAGTATAATTGAGTTTAAAGTTTAAAGTTCACTTTGACTGTACAAAGATAAATAGTGTCTAAGTAGAAATTGTGTCATTTTTGTGTAATAAAACAGTATTTTATGTAACAACAACAAACATATGAAACATATGTGTGAACTGCGGTTATGAGACGTATATGAGAACGATTCTTCGCAGTAAAGCACTATTTGAGCAATAGTGAAAATCAGACCTGAAAAAAATTTCAGGCCTGTACGGGATTCGAACCACTGACCTCAGTGGTTCGAATCCCGTACAGGCCTGAAATTTTTTTCAGGTCTGATTTTCACTATTGCTCAAATAGTGCTTTACTGCGAAGAATCGTTCTCATATAAGTATTTTATGTATTAAGAAGTTTAAAGTGTTTTGTCTGTTTGTTTGTCTTTTTGTTTTTTCTTGGGATGGAGCCGGAGTGTCGAAGGTTGTAATAAGTGCGGCATTCCATTTACATTCCCAATTACATTTTTTTTTTTCATGTGCATTTTTCCTATTGTTTTTCGCATTCTTTCACCCGCGGTGATTTATGTTCCATTAGGTTTTTTCGTATAATTATGCTTTGTTTAAATTCATTTTGCATAAGCTTCTCGGCACTGGAGTAGCAGAGTTTATTAGGTTAACATCCATTCCTTCACTGCGATCAGCTCTCGGTTTTTTCCGTCCTTCGTGTCCACAAATCATACAACGTTTGTAAGTGTCTTTCCTTGTCCGATCGCTTTTCTTCTGTTGGTTACGTTTCTCTATTCCTTTTACTTGTATTTTGTAATAACTAGTGATTATTTTGTTCCATTAGCAACCGTGATGCAAATAAATTTTAAAGCGCGTTTTGAAACCTGACTTGTTAGTAGTAGCAAAGGTAATGCAGTAATGGATGTTGTTATCTGTTATATTTATTCCCCTATGCAACTTGCCATTATTTGCACCTGAGCGATTCCAAAAACCTCTACGCAAACACAAGGATCCGACTATGGGCAACTCTTTCTAAACAAGGGCGCCAATACGCAGGTGGAGCAACTACAGAATACAGCGCCATTGAGGTCCACCCACAGGCAGCCCAGAGAAAAGAAAACCAGGATTAAAAAAAACCCGCTTAAATCAAGTGAAATCGGTAAAATAACGACACCAGGAGCAAGCAACACACGTATGGGATAAGGTAACCCATTTTTATTTAATATTTTCACTTTTAACTATTTCTATGGATATCTTGTAGAAAATCTCATACAAATCCTTATAAATCGATATGCAAATTGTGTTCCTTGTGTGGTTCTCAAAGAGAGCTTGGGCTGCCTGTGGTCCACCTTGTCGGCATGAAAGCACCGATAGCGAATGAAGAGCACTGTATAGGTTGTTAGTATGTCTAGCTCTTTGTCAAGGAGTTCTGAGACCAATGTTAGGCAACTATTATTTTATCACTCAGCTTGTCAACTCGAAAGGTTACGCGAGGCCCAACTTGGCTTCGCTCCAACTCCAACCAGTACTCGAATCCAAAACCGAGCATACGTTACTCGCTAAACATCTTGATTCGTCCAGAATGCAGTACTTGCCATTTTGTCCTTCGTCCAGGAACTGTGCATATTCCGAATGAACAACAATTTGACAGCTGACGCTGAACGAACCAAAGCTTTGTAATTTCTTACACCATGAGTTTGATATTCATGATCTTCCTGGCATTTATACAACTATCAGCAGTCGTCGTCAACCTACAGATGCTGAGTTGTTTCAAAGACCAAACAAAATACACGTATCTTCAAAGAGGCAGAATGTTTCTCATTATTCAGTGGATCTGCCAAGTTACAATTGTTGTCGCGGACGCAGCAGAGTCGTGGAAAGGATTTGCAAGTCATCAACTCAAAGAAAGCTGTAATATCTTCAAGGTCCTGTCGCTTTCCGTGGTGTTCTTCCGAGCTTACAACTTGATGGCTATAATGAGCACGCTTATTGAAACCCCAGTGAAGCGCGGCAACCGAGAGTTTTCAACCAAACTCAAAATATATGCAATCCTTGCTCTGGGATTAACTGGCTCAGCAACAATATGGTGGTCCACCTGCCTTCCTTATAAGAACATTTCTTACATGGCCCTGAAAGTCTTTTTTCCTCGCTTCTGTCATTTTTCTCATTCTAATGGTTTATCTGGCGGTACGGATTATCAGCATGCAAGACATGCCTAGTTTCGAACTGCAAAACATACAAGCTTCGATTTGGAAGATCTGTAAAGAAAATAAACGATATGTTTTTGTTAGCCATGTTAATTATGTGCTCGATGATATGTTAATTATGTGCTCGATGATTGCTGGGGGATTTCGCTCCGACTCAACCCGCAGTAAACTTGAAGATTCTGCAAAACCCATGGCGCCAAAGGAGGTTGTCTATTCAGTTATTGACACGTTTCTTGTTGGAATCTTCCTACCGATACTTTTAAGTGATCTTATTTATTCAAGTTACGAAGAGAGAAATTATTTGAAAAACGTACCCATCTAGTTCAGAATAGGGTGAATTGCGGACATGTAGGAGATTTCTAAATGATGCAATTTTTAAGGGCAATCTTAAAGGCACCACATGAAGATTTACATCATACGAGTTCATCTATAATGTCGACGAGTTGACATGTTCGCGAGCTGGCCGCGTACCATGTTGGCATAGTAATTTTGATTGTTTTGTTTTAACTGCGGTCGTCTTTGTAACACAGTTCCTGACTTCCATCCTCTTTTCATATAAAGTAGAAAAGTACAGTATACTGCAGTTGTAAGGAGGAATATTTACGGAAATATGAATCGATTTAATTGGAGAGGACTTGTATCAGGCCTAACAATGATTGAGAGCGAACTTAACGTGTGCTTGTTTTGAAATACTGTAACTGGTCTAGCGTATGGTACCGCCACGTCAGACATAAATTGGTTACCGGTACATGAACGTCTAAACCGGGTTCACTTCATAAGCATCTCCTTTTGCTAGATCGTAAATGGAGTTTTTCTTGAATGAGTTTTGAGAAGATTTAGACAGTGATACTGCCTAAGCGCCCCCAACTCAGAAACACCCGGGCTAACTAACGAAAACCCTTTTGGATGTGTAGGACAGAAGCCTTCAAGGACAGACAACGTGCGAGCATGAAAAACTGTGGAAGCAATTATATGGAACGATGTGAACGACTATGTGAACGACCTGAAAGCTGTGCTATTCGAGTTGTGCACGAGAGATCGCAGGTTATACCTGGCCAACATAAATTTATAAACGGGTTGAAGGGATGATGACACAGTTGGGCATGTGCAAAGAAACACATCATTTCTTATAAAATTCTAAGAATTGAATCACTTCAATTTTTGTCATCTTGGATTTCAAAGATGACATAAATAAATGGCTTGGCATGCATAAAAACTGATTAGAAAACCCCTTTTAAAGATCAGCCCAGTTCCCTTGATATTTGGAACAACCAAACCTTTATTGATAATTTTAAGTAATGAACCCTGAAAGCAAAGGATAGCAACTTTTAAAAACATTTAAGATAGTTTGGTCTTGGAACCATTGTACTATCAGTGTAGTTGGTAAACATTGGTTTGCAGTTTCTAGTTCTGTTTATGAAGTAGACTGTTGGTACAAAAAGCTTGTATGTAACTGAATCACAGCATTACTATAGTGTGGCAGATTAAGCCTTAAATTATTCATTCTAGCACTCAAAATGAATTTTTTTTCCCTTTGAAAGCAGCATGTTACGAATTAAAACAAAACTGTTTGTTCAAATGAAATGCCGTAATGTGTCAGAGGAGTTTAGCTGCAAATGAATGCATGTGTTGTAGTTTACCACCACTGAGTACTCCATCATACACTCCTTTACTTTTCTTACGGCACGCGTGATAAAGATAGTAATAATAATGATGATCATGATAATGTAGATACTTTTAATTAATTTACATTTATTTTAATTAATTTACATTTGTAGCTAATATATTTCATTTAATTTATTATTATGTTATAATATTGTAAACTGCTGGTATAATAAGATGTGTAATTAGGTTTTTGGATTTTAAATTTTAAATTTT